TTTCAGAAAGCATAAAGAAATGAACAGTTCTTGTGTTTAAAACATGTTGACTCACATGAGATTAATAATAAAAGCTAATAATAGCTTTTTTAAAATTTTACATGGAACAGATCGCCTTATGGGGACAGGCATTTTGAGCCATCACATGACCACAGTGTAACCCCTGATAATTAAACATTTATATATTTTTTTAAAACAACAAAAATGAATAAAGTCGGAAAAGTGCATTTCTAAAATGGCATAAACAATGTGCAAATCCTACATCCACACCACTAGGTGTCAGTAAAAGTCCCATACAACTGCCTTCCGAGTCAGTTCTTACTGTCTGCAACTGTAAAATTACCTATAGTAATTGAATCAGTAAAACTGTCCAAAGTTGTGCTCACAGTGCTGGCAAAAAAAAAAAAAAAAAAAAAAAAAGAACATCACACTTTTCAATAGAAACCGAATCTACTAATAGAGCTCCTTCGATCCACAAAATCCTGACAGAACCAATTTTTAAAATGCCAACATTAACTAAAAACATCTGCACAAATTCTACATCCACACCACTAGGTGTCAGTGCAACAAACAAAAAATTACTGCATGCACCTGGAAATTTACCTGTATTATTTGGAACAATAAATGATACACTGTCCAAAGTTGAGCTCAGTGTCGGACCACCAAAAAAGACCTCAGCTCATGATTTCCCGTCCCACACTACCGCAGAACATCACACTGTTCAATAGAAACTGAATCTACTAATAGAGCTCCTTCGATTCACAAAATCAAATCTTGGCCGAACCAATCAATAGCTTTGATTGCTGGGCAAATCAATAGTATCTTCCATCCTCACTTAGCAAAAGACTCTGCACACAACACACACTATTCGACACAACTGTGTTCTGCAGAGTACACCAACAACAGCCACATCCACAGATCTCATCCTGTCAGAGCCTTCGGTGTCATTACTTTGTCAATTCTCACAACCCTGCTCCTTTCCTCTCTTCAGATACGAGACGTCTCTCCCCGCCTCACTTCCTGCAGGATTGAGGATGCTGCCGGTGGGTAGGCCTGCCGCGGCCCCCTCGCTTTAGGGCCATAAGTAACTGTAAACGGTGCTGAGCAGGTGGGTGGGGGACTGAGAATGAAGCTGCATTATTTATGGGTTTCTTGCTTCTTTTGAATTTCATCCCAATAGCACTGTTTCAGCACTTCTGAGTGAGTGAACGAGTGCCGGCGCAATTGCTGGCGCGAATACAAATATCTGACCTTCTTTTAGCTGATTTACAGGCCCATTTTCTGCTGAGGGAGTGCTAATATTACCCATTACATGAGACGGGAAAGAGAAGAAAACAGTGCAGTGAGCAGACATGACAACAAACTGCAGTGATTTACATAATGGTCATTGTTGGTGGAGATCCGGTGTGTTTATCAGTTCAAACTGATTATAAATTGCAAAAACTTATGTAAACTAATTCGCCCATCACTCAAACCGAAGCATTTGTTTCTGCTTAAACTCTTTGGTTCGTGGACTGCTGATCAAACTTTACAGATCACATTTACTTTCAGTCTGCGCAATTTTGAGGGCAAATCAGGTCAATCCAATAGGAATCCCTGCGATTGGGAGTTTCGCATGAGAGCAGCTTTGCTCATATTCACATCGGTCACAGGAATTCTTTGCAAAAACTAACAGAAAGCTGCTTGGTTTGAAAGTGACTTCTATGTGAGCTGTGCTTCGTATATCACTACATTACTGACAATAGCCAATGGACCTATTTTGTCCTTATTCTGCAGAAGGCACTGGGATACATGTAATCTGAAGAGATTAGACATGAAATGCACCTTGGTCTGATCTGTGGAACTGGTATCAAGCTCACTGTTAGAACAGAGGAACCCCAAACACACACAAAGAAGTTGCCAGAAGTCCACATCTGCCTTTCATCAGCATCAACAGTATAAAGGGCTCAGAGGAGGTGCTGCTGGACGAAACCTAACGCTACACACACACACAGAAAGTGAAGCTCTAACAAACTAAAAGCAGGTGACTCACATTAAGAGCTGGATGAACAACTCAAAAGTGAAACTCAGAACCAATCACCTATAAAACCAAAGATGTGCACATGGAAAATGAAATAAGCTCGGGGCCACTGAACAGCAGAAAACGAACATGACAAATGGGCTTAGCAGGGATCCGATGAAACTTTAAAGAGATCCCATTCACTTCATACGCCACAGAAAACAACCAGTGCCAGGAGAGAATTGCTCTCATATTCCCTCAGAAATTCGGCACGACACGCGGTGGTCTCTATCGGGAAACTGATGTGTGCTAAACTGCGATTTCAAAGCAGCTACCCGTCGAGTTTGCTCCAGTAGCTGCAGTTTCTCTGGAGCGTGTCGGGGATCTGCAGGTGGTCAGGTGTGTCTGCACAGCTGCATAAGCATGTAATCAATCGCAGCATTGCCTCCAGGTGCAGGTGGCCAAGGCTTTGCCAACAACATGCTCTTTGCGCTCGTACCAGTAGGTACACCAGGAAAATATGGAAGAGCATCCGGACATGCTGTCTTTCAGACTCAAACATGTAGATTCACACGTATCCGCATGCTATCACTACACATGGCTCATCTGCTCGGCAGCCATAACCACCGCCACAGGAGTGGAGCTGGAAAATATCAGCAGCTGACTGGCGGAAGTCAATACGGTTTCTCATTTTCACTGAGTGAATGTCTGCTGATGAATAGCTGATATTTAATCGCAGTGATGAGACACTTAGAGTTCTGCCGTTCTGTCGTCTTACATTCTGTCCGCACTAGAATAAGAGGCTTCAGCCCCCCTATCGTTTAGCGTGTGCTTCATCAGCTGCTGAGTCCAGCTCACTTCAGCAGGGCTTCCTGTCCCAGCAGTAGATGGTTAAGCCATTCTCCCTCTCTCAAAACCATTCATCCATCCATCTAATTCAGACCGTCTGAAGCTTAACAGGACTAATTAAGTCACTGTTGTTGTGTTGGAAAGATAGCTGGGCTTTTAGAAGGACCCCTGTGGAGAGCTCTCTCTTGGATCAGGTGCAGATCCCAACACAGATCTGTTGGGTCTGGCAGCACTGCTGTCGACATTTGGTTGGAAAATAAAGCTAATGCTAATCCAAAACTACTGAAGTAAAAATGTTAGTAGATTAAAAAGAGACCTAACAAAATCTCAAAAGGAATAGTTCACACAAAACTACACTTCTGTACTAATGTAGTCACCCTAACTACTTTCTTCCATGAAACACAAAAGGACACTTCAGCAGTCTCCATTCACTTTCATTGTATGGAATAACGATGCAATAGAAGTGAATGGTGACTGAGACTGTCAGTCCCAACTGTTCTACCTAACATCTCATTTTGTGTTCCACAGAGGGCAGTTTAAATCAACATGAGGGTGAGTAAATGATGACACAATATTTATTTTTGAGTGAACTAATCCTCTAAGTAGGTTACTCGTGTGTTTCAACAGAAAACAATGACTCAATTTATATTATAGTGTTCATATTAGTATGTATTTGTATAAAAAAGTATCTATTTAGTGAGGCTGCTTGCAGTTGCATATTGCTATGTTTACAGTAATTGAGTATAAAAACATGCAAAAGAAAGTTACAAAAAAAGAGAAATATATAAATATTTGAGACATAGAATGATCGCGTGATACGTAATATTAGACACAAAACGTGTAGACTGCAACATTAAACATCCCCGTTTAAAAATCCCCTTCAAACCGTTTGGAATATAGTTCTCACCCGAGACAGATACAAATACTATACCACATCGACTCTATGAAATCAAAGATATCTTTTAAACGTATGTTAATTCATTTATAAAGCCCAAATTTCGAGGTTAATAATGTCATTATTATTCATGACTAATTTGCGAAAATATGTTACGGTTTCAGGACTTTTTAAGGATTTACCTTATAAATATCTCAATGTATCAGTAGTTGAAGTGAGTTTTATCAGTCAGGCAGGTTAATAAAACTGGCTAAAGATCTAGGCTAGTTTGAATGCAATATGTCTTTCAAATCGAAAAACACCAGCGAGGTGTGTAAAAATGTCGAATAAAAGTTATTAAAATATGAAAAATACAAAATCTAGCTGTGTATACACATAATTATGTGCAGTTATATTATATATCGCCTATAGGCAAATATATAGGCTACATTCTATACATTCTTTCTGCTGATACTCTCCATGAGAGTCGCTGGAGGTGCTTCATGTGCCCGCGGCTGCACAAATACAGTCGTCAAGACTAAGTAACCATGACACGAGAACACGATGACTAGAAAAACACCGTAAATGATGAGCTACGACTTTGTAGGTCACAAATACATATATTACATGTTTAAGGATTAAGTGATAGGCGGCTTCATTTAGAATCCCGTTCGTGGCATGAAGAGAATCTGCTGCGTAATTTACTCTAGAGTTTATCTGTGCGTTTGTGAGCAAAATACCCGGAATCCTACAAAACAACGAACTGTATTACACAGCTAATTAGATAAACAAACACAAAATAGTGTTGTGAAAACGTGCAGTGGAGCCCAGAATGAAGCGCGGCGTCTGTCGGAGCTCATGCCGAGCGCGCATCACCTCCAGCGGGCAGGAGACTGCCAGCACACGCGGTGAGCTTTCACCCATCACACTAAAACCTTTTGAAACCTTCTGAGAGGCTCATCATCTTAGTGTTGTCGTTTTGGTTCTGTTTTCTTATTTTCTGGGTTCCCCCGTCTTTTTTCGCTTTTTCTCTCTTTTTTGAGATTATGATTTTTTAGATAAGTATTGAATATGGCATATTTGCCGTTTTGTCTGTCAGTTGTAAGGTACCGAAAACAAACCTAAGCAGAATTCAAAACAAATACCCAAAATGACAGAGAAACTGAAATCAGTAATGTGGATCGCAGTTCCTTTTGCAATAACACATAATAGCATACGCGTTAAATGGAAACCTAAACTGAATCAGATAAGAACAAATGGCAAACAACAAAAACTTACCCTCCTCTCCATAAACTAATGCCACACACAAGACAAGTAAAGATCCACAGAGCTTTGTGAATAAATCCATCTTTTCTGGGTGATGTTCACCCAGTGCCTGTAGAGGAAATGCTGAAGTTCTTGTGATGTTCTTTGAAAATGTTCTTGTCCACTGATGATGTATCATCCACTTGTGTCTTGAGTCTGATGACAATTTCTTCCGCCTGCTTTATCGATGTGCTTCAAAATGCTGGATGCGTAAATTCAACCCAGACTTGGCTGTTTAACATCTCCAGTTATATCCTAAAAAAAGCTGACAACGAAATAAAACAGCTGATTAAAACTAAACAACTTTCTCTTTAAAAGCCAGAGTTCAGACCGAAAACATACTTTGGCTTGATTTCCTCGAGCTATAGCAGCGTGTGAGTGAGTGAGGTGAGCGGCGCTTTCTCTCGCCTTCAAATCCAACTGACATGAAGCGTTTCCCGGTTTCGTCCCCACAGAATCCAGCACCAAACGCTCGCGTGGGAAAACACTGTCCACGGCGGAAAACTGTCAGAAAAGGGCAGTTCGGATAAGGTCTTCAGTGCAGAGGGTCCGTAACTGAAGACTGAAGAGATACTCCGTGCGCTGTCTCTTTGTCACTGCGCGTCTCTGCGTTTGAGCGCTGAGTCTTGCGCGGCAGCAGCATGTGGATGTAATAGCATTAAGGACGGGCGCAGCTATCGCATTACATACAGTCAGCACCTCGGCCCGCCTCTCCAGTCTCTGATTAAAGACCAGCCACTAGTCCCGCAGTTACGCTATAAAAAGGCGAGCGAGAGAAACACAAGCGCCCACAGCCACACAGGCTCGTCAAACGCTCGTGGCTGTGCGAAACCACAGGCTGGTTTAGAGAGTTTCTTTAAAGTGGTAGACGATGTACGCTGCTAACAATGGGTCACTGACAAATAATGATGTCCAAAATGATAAAATCCCTTAAATGTCCAGTTTACAACATATGTGATAGGCTCTTAGAAAAGCAATCTTGGTATTCGTTTTGGTTTTATGTATTTTGGGAAAAATATTTGTTTTTTTCAAGCAAAAAATTAATTACTCAAAAAAAAAAAAAGTCAAGTGGTGTAACCATAATTTAACAAAATAGCACTGACGTACATTCCTCCTGAGTACTTTTTAGAACACACAAGTTAATCATTATTATTATTATTATTATTATTATGTTTAAAAAATGTTTTTATATTTTAGAAAATGATTTTAGTAAAAACAAAACCTACAATAGCAAGAATCACATTTTTATGTATATAAAGACATTCTGGAGTGGTTACTCCATTTGACAATAACAAAATATGCTTTTTCATAAAAAAAAGTCCTAGTAAGTGACATTGTCATTTTTTATGGCTTACATAACAAAATGGCTTCCTGCATTTTGGTTGCATCACACTGATTTTGGTGAAAAAAAGTTTTTCCAAATATTCATAATATTAAAAAAAATGAAGAAATAATGAAATATTATTTTAGATTTTTTTTTTTTCCTGCACAGTTACACCAACTAGACACTTTATAAAGGATCCCACAAAATCCCCAAAAATATAAAAATGATGTAATTCAGAAACTGAAAACATGTTAGAACATGTCTAAAATAGATCTGGACAAAAAAAAGTGTCACATCATTGACCAAGATTTAGCAATAACATAAGGGAACAACAGAAGGAAACTGTTGTAATTATGATAATTATGTATAAGCTGCCATTATGTTCGACAGCTTGATACGTGATTGATGTTAGAAACATAACAGTTTTGATGCCCTCCAGTTGACTTTAGACAAAAAAGTGAAAATGCTGAGTTGAGCCATGCATTAGGTAAGGAAATGTGCATAGTAATGCGTGGCTGAGGTTGAATTAATGCAAATGTTTTTGTCAGCATGCCAAAGAAAGATCAGCAAGGGTATAGGGGTCAAACTTTGAGCAAAAATACAAGAAACTGAACAATCCAATGGTAAACGTTCCATGACAACAGATGTTTGACAGAAACTAAAAACATGTTTTTCTTTCCTTGTGACTGATGCACTGTTGAAAATACACACACATACATACTCAGTTAAAATAAAAGCAACAAGCAGAAGTTTGTGGTAGGATGTGTGGGACACTGAGAAAAGGAGAAGCGAAAGCAGAACTTGGGAAGAGCAATGTCCCTCTGGCTCTGCCCATCCAGAGTCCTTTAATTTAAGCCCCCTGCACTTAAAAAAAACACATGAAGACAGAAATAAGACACTAAGGTACAGCAAGAGCTTAGGGTTTAGAAAGAACTACTAGAGTAGACCTCATCAACCACTCTGTGCACATCAAAGCTTCGACACCCATGCAAGGAACCCAAATTCTCAGATATGTTCTTGTGCACAGATCTCTTCAGATCCACCCAATACAGGGCCAGTGAGGGCCCCAATCTGCCACTAACTACAGTGGCTTTAATGACACAGCATTACCCTGCAGATCCCGAAATAAACTCCTCTTTCTTCAACCACCCTGCAGATGCTCTGCACACGCTTGACACTGTGATAGCAGGCAGCTGAGGAAGCACAGGGAAGTTTTTTTTAGCTTTTGATGCCTTGTCAGTTTCAGGTCATGTCTTATTGAAGTCAGATGATTAGTCATGTGTTGTGCCATGCCTGAGCTGTTAATTCTGAGAATCGTATTCTCTCATGGAGGAAACAGGAAGTGCGGAAAACATGATTGTTTTTGTAACACTGGACTTTTTTTCATCATCACCAACCACTCAATGAGAAGTTCCATAGATCACTTGACAAGACCTCAATGACAGGCCGCCGTGCTCTTATCTCTCAGAGAGTACTGACTCCATCTCTCAGCTCTTGAGACCACTGCACTATTTGAACTGGGGGCTTCGGCCTGTCAACAGTAATACTTGATAAAGATTGCTCTTTTACACTGTCTTCAGACCAGTCCTGTGGTGTCACCTATCACGGATGAGGTCAGAGTTTGCGTATAGTGAGGGCTGGTCTTGGATCAGGGTAAAATAACAGCTTCCCTTTGAAGTGTTGACAGGCCTGGCCTGTGCTGTCCACACACACCTCGACCCACAGCAGACCTGTGATCATCCATCTTACTGGCTAATGCCAGGCAGAGCATGAGGAGATCTCAGTAGAAAAGTGGAGCCTCTGTGCATGGTGGTGGGGCTATCCACACTCTCAGCCTCACGGGGGAAGTGTTGAGTGTGTGTGCGTGTGTGTGAGCGCTGAGGTTCCTGTCGGCCATGCAGGGAGGAAAGTCCCTGCCACGGTCCCAGCAGTGGCTCTTCTTAATCTTCTTACGCTATTTGAGCTTAAGTCCTGCTCGAGCCAAAAAGCAGCCAATGCTGACACATCTGCTTGTTTACAGCTACCACTGTTTATGTCTGGAAGGAAGAACGTACAAGAAGAAAGTTCCTGAAGACAAATATATGTATATTTATGTTCACAAACAAATAAAGGAACAAAAAATAATACACTGTAAAATCCAATAGTTTACCTTACTTAGATGCTTCCGGACTGCCATGTGCTATGTTTGGATCACTGGTACAGTACATTTGGATTACCCTAATACTGTGAAAAACACTTACAGTGTGATGCTTGACTTGGGACAGGAAAAAAAAACAAAAAAACATTGGAAACATGTGCGGCTAACCCAGTGCCATACTTACTCATTGTACTGCTACCTCCACTGTTTACAAGAAGCATACCCTAAATCAGATTGTTTTTGCTTTGTTTCAAAATGTATGTAATACAAGTTAAAACTGCACTGAGAAAAAAAAACATTACCTTTAACTTTGAACTTTCAACTACCTTAAATTTATGTGTAATTGTATGTGTGTGATGAATGGAACATTGTTGTCAGTAATTTGTAATGGATGTTTGAAGCACTTAAGTTAGTGGAGTAACGCTTACTTGGTTTTTTTAAGGCAATCGGTTTGCATGCTTTTAGCAAGTAAATCAGATTGCTGTTTAAGTAAATACAACTTAGAAATTCCAAGTTGCAGGAAATGTTACACGAGTTGGCTCAACTTAAATAAAAGAGTTGTTTGAAATACGCACATAGTATATTGTACTTATTCATTTAGTTGTTGAAAATAGTGATTCTGAGTTACCAGAACTTGCGTGTAAGTTTACAACACTAAATAAACCTTTGTTAGTACAAATTACTATTCTTATTTCACTTTTTTTTTCAAGGCAATCGGTTTGCATGCTTTTTTTAAGTAAGGTTTACTAATTGGAATTTACAGTGTAATAAATAAAAATAATAATAGTCAAAACTGTCAGTTGGTGTAACCATCAAGTAAAAAGCATGAAAATCCGTTTTTGCACCATGAATCATGCAAGTTTACACAACTTCATTCATGATATAATCACTGGAATATCAAGTCATGAATGTCAAGCCGTTTTTTTTAAGTTGCTTCACTTGACCTTAAGAAAATGTGATATTTTTAAAAATAAGGATAGAGGAGAATTAAGTTAAGGAAATGCTCCAAAACACAAAACTGTCAAGTGGTGCAACCATAAAGTAAAGTGTACTAAAATACTTTATTACGTGTGAATCATGAAATACGATGAATATTAGATATATAAGAAGCCATAAATATAAAAAAGGTTAAGGTTACTCCACTTGACCTGAACAAAACACACCTTTTCATAATTTTTTAAAATAAAAAAACCTGTGATATTTCTACAAATAAACAAGAACAGAACAAATTGAAATTAAGGAAATGCTTTAAAATGTAAAACTGTCAACTGGGGTAACCAAGTAAAAAGCACAAAAATATTTTCTTGCACCTTGAATCATGCATGTTTACACAACTTACGTCATGATTAAAATCACAAGAATATCAAGTCATGAATAAACAAGTTTTCTTAAGGTTAATCCACATGACTTGAACAAAGCATGTCTTCATAAAAAGAATTCACCAAAATATGTGATTTTTTAAAAAATAAACGAAGAGAACTGAATTAAGTTAAGGAAATCCTCAAAAATCACAAAACTGTCAAGTGGTGCAACCATCAAGTAAAGCTAAACCTCGACTTGTACAATATATCTGAAAGTGTGCTTTCAAAGTGCTAACTGACACAACTCAACAAGTAATCAGGGACAGAGTTCCACAGCATGGGACCAAAATGTCTAAATGCTGATTTGCTACTATTCAGGCATGTTTTAGTTACAAATAGAAGTTTGGATGAACTGAGTTATCTAGCTTTAGTATATTATGCAATCACTTGCTAAGGTATGTACAGTAGGAGTAGCACCAAAAAGACATTTAAAAATGAAGACGACAATCCTGAAATCAATCTAAAAAAAAAAATTGAAGAAGCCAGAAAAGGAATTTAGGTGCCAGAGTTACGTGATACTTCAGTCTGGTACGAGTCAGCATTTCTCAAGATTCATTCTGAACCCCTTGTAAGTTTGACAAAACTCTTTGGTAAGCCAGCCAAAACACTCCTGCAGCAGTCAAATGTCTGAATGAGTTTCTCACTGTCAGTGGACAGTGGACTGCTCTAGACGTATTGCACAGATTAACACCCAGATCCAATTACCCTTGCTAAGCAAGCCCTGGGGCTAAATAGTGTACCACAGCTGGAACGGGCACCAGCGCTCTGCCCATATCAAATCTGGAAGAGAAACACCCAAACTGGGACAAGCAGCTGATACACAGGCCTAAAGTAGAACCAG